TAAAATTGACTGTGAAAGATTACATGATAGAATTTTGTAAGACCATTACAAATACCTGTTTTCGACAAGTAAACAGCACCTTTATAGATGGACCTGGAGAATACCCATGAATCAAAATGACCACATTTGTGGGAAAAGACAATAGAGACCCTCACTATCATTAGCAAAACAAGGCTGAGGGCCGAAGGTAGAACAGACCATCAACTGATCACATGCAAGTTCAGGCTGAAGCTGAAGAAAACTAAAACGGGCCCATGAGAGCCAAAATACGACCTTGAGTATATACCCCTCCTGAATTTAGAAATCATCCTAAGAACAAAGTTGACATATTAAACAGAAGCGACCAAAGACTAGAGACCAGAGGAGTTGTGGGATGACATCAAGGGCAGATGAAGAAACGAAAGGTCATTAAAAATCAGGAGAGGAAAGGCCAAGACAGATGTCAGAAGAGTCTCTGAGGCTTCCTCCAGGGCACAGAGAAACTACAGAGAGCAGGAGAAACGAGGACGTAAAAGAACTGAACAGAAGACTTCAAAGGGTTGCTTGGGAAGAAACAGCAAAGCATTCTAATGAAATGTGCAACAACCCAAACTCGAATTACAAAACCAAAAGGGAAGCGCCCACTCAGCATTTCTGAAGCTGAAAGAACTGACGAAAAAATTCAAGTCTCAAGTTCAAATATTAATAGGTCTATGGGCACAAATATTGAATGACACAGGAAGAATGAAAAGAAGATGGAAGGAACTAGAGGGTCACTGCAATCACACACACACACACACACACACTGGTCTACAGTCGTTAGAAGGTAGCATATGATAGACAACCAATAGTACTGAATGAAGAGGTCCACTAAAGGCACTGATGAAAAACAAGGCTCTAGGAATTGAGGAAAGACCAACGGAGATGTTTCAACCAACAGATGCAACTCTGGAAGTGCTCATTCGTCTACGCCAAGAAATCTGGAAGATAGCTACCTATCAACCGACTGTTAAAAAAAAAAACCCAATCCAAAGAAAGTGAACCCGAAAGAATGCAGAAATTATTGAACAATGTCATTAATTTCACATGCAAGTACCAATCTGCTGGAGATAATTTTAAAACGGTCACAGCAGTGTATCTACAGGGAGTGCCTGTACTGGGTTTTAAAAGGATGTGGAATGAGGGACATCATTGGTCACTTCAGATGCACTTTGGGTGAAAACAGAATACCAGAAAGATATTTTCCTGTGGTGTTTTTTTTTTTTTGACTATCCAAAAGTATTCAACTTCTGTGGATCATAACAAATTATGGATAACACAACGAAGACTGGGAATTCCAGAATACTTCATTGTGCTCATTGTGTACAATCGATACAGACACTAAGAGGCGGGCATTCGAAGCGAACAAAGGAGTACTGCATGGTTTGAAATCAGGAACCCTGTGCGTCAGGGCTGTATCCTTGCACCACCCCCGTTCAGCAGGCCTGTGGAACAATCTGAGAAGCTGGACTATGTAAAGTAGAATGTGGCTCCAGGGCTGGAAGAAGACTCATTGATATACAGACGACACAGGTTTGTTTGCTGACTGCCAAGAAGTACTTACTCATGCAAATCAAAGACCCCAACCTTCAGTATGGATTAGAATCTCAACATTAGGGGGAAAGAATCCTCACAATTGGACCAATAAGTAACATCAAACAGCATCCTACCTCTACCCAAGCTGAGCTTTGTGCAGTACCCCCTTCTTCCACACTGGGTGCCTCTTTATTTTGTAACACGGCACCCTACCAACAATTCCTGCAAGCTTTGCTTAATACCTAATACTACATAAATGCAGGACAGTATATAAATAAACCAGGCTACCTGTCTGAAATGGCTTCTCTACATGTTAGATCCAAGATTTGTCCACCTCTGTCTTACAATGTTTGAAATGTGCCTCATGCTAGAGAGTCCAGAACCCCAGCAAGAGTTGAACACAAACCTGCCAGAGTAATTCACATCCCATCCGTACACTGGCTTTGTCTAAGCATCAAGGTGATCTTTTCTAGTAAACAAGGTAGTTCACTTGCACCTTGATCAGGATTGCAGCCTTGTTCACCTTTCTGACACACCATTCTGAGAGAGTAATAAAAACACCCATGTATGATAGTACAATATTTATCCTCTATACAGGGATATATTGAAGACAACCTCTTTCCAAAATACAAAAGAAGAAAGAAAACAAATCTAAAGACTCTAAAACAGTGGTTCTCAACCTTCCTCATGCCACAACCCTTTAGTACAGTTCCTCATGTTGTGGTGACCCCAACCATAACATTATTTTCATTGCTACTTCATAACTTTAATTTTGCTACTGTTACGGATTGGGCGACCCCTGTGAAAGTGGTAGCGACTCACAGGTTGAGAACCACTGCTCTAGAATAAAGAAACGTCTCCAAATATACTCCAGTCTTTGTTATATTACTGCAAAACATGTCTGGATTAGCAGTCACATCAAAGCTTTTTGATATTTTGCTTGTTGCTTCTTTAGGTCGTTATATAGGTCACTTTAACATTAAGAGATCTCCGCATTCAATGCAGTTTCTTTACTGCTCTTCTGAACAGCCTCCTGTCCACGTCCTCCACCGTCCACCTTCCTATCTCTTCCTAAAAGGAAGTCTGCATCCAGAACACACTATCACACACGAACTCGGACATGACTCCTTCAAGAATACTCAGATGCCAGTATTGTTCATCATTGCCCACACTACTAAGCCTTTGCCCGACTACTTCCCATTGCCCCTCAGTTCCTACCCAAAGAAAGACCAAGAATGATATTTGAGTCCTGGAAATATGGGAAGATCAGTATTGTATCTCAGCATCTACAGAGTCCCAAAGTTGCCACACAATACCATGCATGGTACCTCCTTAGTCTGTGTCTACTTTACAGGTTTACAGGTAAGGAAGCTGAGGTGCAATGAGGTTCAACCATAGGAACACAGTCGCAGAGAAGCTCAGAGTAAGATTAAATTCCTCTTGTTCCTATATTCTCAGCTGGGGCTATTTCAAGACATCCTTCCCACAGGGCACACCTGGCATATCTAGAGACGCTTGGATTGTACAAGAATTGTGCACATCCAAAAAATGACACTAAGATTGAAAAACTCTGGTCTCCTGGTATAGTAAGTCCCCAGGTTACCAATGTCCACTGATGGACAACTCCAATGTACGTGACCTCAGTTCTTATGTCAATTTGTCCATACTTTAAAACAAATGAACCAACCCCTACTCTCAACAATTCGTCCTGACCATCACCTTCGCTTGCTGCATGGGGAACTTTTAAACCATTGCTGCTAGCAGCATTGTAGAACAATGTGCACCTATTCCAACTTGCCCACAAATTCAACTTAAAGAAACATTCAAGAATAGCTCTCTTTCATAAACTGGGGTCTGCCTATATCTCTAGGACTGCATTCTTTGGCCGCTAATTGATAGTTAAAGAATGGCTTCCTTCACAAGTTTATCATGGTGCAGTACTTACACATGCCAGTCAAGTGTTATTTCTAACATATTGGGCTTTTTACTTAAATACTTTTAAAACTGTGACAGACAAGAGCTAGAAAGCAAGTACAACTAGAGCTATCAGTGCCCAACTCCAGATCCCTCCCTTAGTGACCCCCAGCCTCAGCCCCAGCCCCGGAGCTCTGGCCTGCTGGGCCTGGCGACTCATCCAGCCTTGTCAGTGGCTGATCAGTCAGCTCAACAGCTGCCTTTTCTCTGCTTTGCTTATCTCCCTGCATGTGTGTCACTCCTGAGCAGTCATGATGTATGCTGACAAGAATCTCTAGAGAGCTCCAGCCCCTAATTGTCTATTTTGTTCAGTAAATGATACTCATTGCCAAGCCACAGGAGGGACCTCAGGACATCAGCCATTCTAGTGGCCCTGCCTGAGCCCGGGGATGGGGCAGTATCTAGCAAGGGCTCCATGGACTCAAGCTTAAAGTAACACTTCCACCAGGTTTTTAATGAAGCACAACTTCCCCGCCCGCCCCCCACCAAGTTCCTCTTTCCTAATCATCCTTGGCTTGGCTTCAATTTTTATCAATTGTCATTTTCTTTTCAAGGAGTCTGGGTCCACCTGTAGACGCCGTCGAGCTCAACACAAGAGGTATTGTCCTCTCCTTCCCAGACTTCCCTCTGGACTCTGGGAGGGGCGCAGCTGACAGGGAACTTCTCCTTCGGGCCTCAAGAGTCTTTAGCACCAAGGAATGCTCAAAGCCAGCCTTGGTTCTGTTGCTCCCAGCGCCAGTACCTGGCTCGGCTCACTAGTGCTGGATGCCTGCAGTCACATCTGCACGTTTTTCTCCCACGGAGCTTCCGGGCGGCTTCCAGCACCAACCTTTCAGTCAGCAACCAAGTGCTCAACCACCGGGCACTGTAAGCAGGTGCGGAGCAAGCGTATGTGTGACCACCAGTGGCTGTGGATAAGGTGGCACTGGCAGACCCACATGCTTTGCTAATACTGGTGTCAACCCACCCTGGGATCTTCAGCTCCGTGGCCAGCTGCTGCCACTCTGGGGAAAGTGGTAATTAATGAAAGCATCCTTAGAGGAGGAATGGATGTTGGGCAAGGGAACTGGCAGGGCTATCCATCTGATAATGGTGCCAAACAAAAGGCAGGGAGACCCCAGTCCGTACTGCATAATACATCATAGGAAGGCCCAACAACTTCTCCCTGTTTCTAGAAAAATCACATCTCAAATAAATGGACCCCTAATAACTACTAAGCTAGTTCTAGCCACAGAATGGATGCCATCCCATGGCTTGGTTGTGTTTTTCTTTTGTTAAGGATTGATTTGCACGGTGCCTGAGCTTTGAATCACTAAAGGTGTGGGAGCCTGCCACAGGCAGGGCACGGCAGCCCAAAGCACTAACTCCAAGAGACCGGGAAGGCAGCTCCTGTGACCAAGTCAGAGAAACGGTAGCAGAGCCTGCCTTTGCCTTACCCTGGAGTAGAGAGTGTGGCCTTCAGACACACTTACATCTTCACAACCCATCGGCTCTGCTGCTTTTCACCGCTCACTCACTTCTGCATCCTGAACCTCAATCGATCGATCAGCTGATCGATCACCAGCTGCCAAAGACAAAAAATGGAAAGACTGTATTAGGCCAAAAGACATACAACTTCAGCGGCACTGAGTTACTGCTTGAGTATATTTGTTAGAGTTGGCTGAGTGCTTACCAAATAACCCAAAACACAAACAGTGGCTTCACCTCACTCAAAGTTTACTTTTGACTCCTGCAGGCATACTGGACAGGTGAAAGGTCAGTCAGTGGGGTAGGCTTCCCTGATACAGTGATCCAGGGGCCCAGGCTGACAACAGTGCTGACATCTTTAAAACATACTTTCCAAGGTTACCCTGTGGAGTTCTTGCCTTCTAAGCCAGAGAGGAGCAGAAAACAGATGGAGGAGCTGGCATGGGAGGTTATATTTTGTGTTTGTCTCTTTTCCCCCGTAAGTGGTGTGCAATACTTTCCACTGCTGGCTGGAACCAACCAGGTAGTCTGCTGGGCTGTGGGGTGTCGCTGTAGTACAAGGTGTAGTACAAGGTGAGCCCAACTCAGATGACAGTTTTAGGTTTGGAGTAAGTGCTTTTGGCTAAGACACAGTCCCAATCACCTTGACTTACTTAATGATTCTGTGTTTTGGTTTCCTCAACTGTAAAAGACTCTCCTGTCTCCAAAGGTCATGATGAGACTCAAAATGAGGCAAAGGAGCCCTTCTCAGACTTTCACGTGCTTGCCCATGACCTGAGCATCTTGGCAGAATGTAGATTCTAACTGGGAGGGCATGGTGGAGGGCAGGTTCAGGGCAGGCTTCAATGGCACTTTTCTAGTGGGTTCCTAGCAGATGCCAATATTGCTGTCCTCAAAGGAAGAGACAGAGAGTGAGTGGACAGAGAGCAAGGTTAAGGAATCGTTGTGTAAACTACCAAGTGATTTGCAGAAATCCTGACATTAAGAGATCATAAATGAATCCCCAACTAGACAGTAGTTTTCAGAACTGTTGAGTATAAGTATCACATATATTTGAGAGTCACCAAGTTTGGACAACAGAAAATTTAAACAGATACCACCTTTCCCCTTTATTTTCATGGCTAGGAAACAGATGAAGAGAAGCTATGAGGCCCCCTCCCAAAATAAAACTCAAACAATGGCCCGTTGTGGCTGTTGTTGTTAGGTGTCATCCAGACGGTTCCAACTCAAAGCGACCCCGTGTGCAACTGAAGGAGACACGGCCGGTCCCGCACCTTCGTCACAATCGTTCTTATGTTTGAGCACAGTGTTGCAGCTACTGTGTCAATTTATCTCAACAAGGGCTGCCTCCGTTTTTGCTGCCCCTCTCCTTGATCAAGCATGATGTCCTTCTCCAGGTCTCTCCTGATAATAATGTACGTCCAAAGAACATGAGATGAAGTCTCGCCGTTTTTGCCTCTAAGGGTCCGTCTGGCTGGACTTCTCCCAAGACAGATCTGTTTGTGCTTTAGGCAGTCCAGGCATGGTATTTACCATATTCTTCATCAACACCATAGCTCAGATGCTTTGATTTTTCTTTGATCTTCCATATTCAATATCCAACTTTCACATGCATATAAAGCAGTTGAAAAATGCCATGGCTTGGGTTAGGCGTCCCTCAGGTCTCCAAGTAATATCCCTGCTTTCAACACTTTGAAGAGGTCTTGTGCAGCAGTTTTTCCATTCAATGTGTTGATCTCTTGACTACTGATTCCATGGGCACTGATTTTGGATCCAAGCAAGACAAAATCCTTGAGAACTTTAATCTTTTCTCCATATATCGTGATGTTATCTATTGGTCCAATGTGAGGATTCTGATTTTCTTTATATTGAGTTGTAATCCATACTGAAGGCTGTAGTTGCTGATCTGAATTGGCAAGAATCTCAGGTCCTTCTCACTCTCAGCAAGCAAGGTTGTGTCATCTGCGTATCACAGACTATTAATAAGCCTTCCTCCAATCTTGATGCTGCATTCACCTTCAGATAAGCCAGCTTCTCTGATGATTTGCCCAGCATATAGACCGAATACGTATGGTGAGAGGATACAACCCTGACACACAACTTTCCTGATTTAAAACCATGCAGCATGCCCTTGTTTTGTTCCCATACTTTCCTCTTGATCCATGTACAGGTTCTACATGAGCACAATGAAGTGTTCTGGAATTTCCATTCTTTTCAAGGCTGTCTATAGTTTATTATGACACACACAATCCAATGCCTGTGTGTAGTTTCATGAAACACCAGTAACTTCTTTCTGGTATTCTCTTCGTTCAGCCAAGATCTACCTGACATCAGCAATAATATCCCTTGTTCCATGTCATCTTCTGAATCGGGCCTAAACCTCTGGCAGCTCCTTGTCAATGTGCTGCTATAACTTTTGTTGGATGATCTCAGAAAAATGTTATTTTCATGACAGGTCACTTGTCTGCCAGGTTGTCATAGTGTGGTAGCTTGTGCATTGCATGATGCTGGAGGCTAGGTCACGGGTGTTTCAAATACTAGCAGAGTCACTTAAAGTGAAAAGGTTTCAGCAGCGCTTCCAATCTAAGGGCTATGGAACCATTGTTAGTTACTGAAAACGTAACGAACAGAAGCAGAACATTGTCAGAGATGGTGCCAAAAGGTAAGCCCCTCAGGTGGGAAGCCACTCAAAATAGGACCGAGGAAGAGCCTTCTCCAAGTAGAGTCAGCTATACTGACTTGGATGGAGTAACGCCTGCTGGAGTAAAGTCGTCAGAACCTTCATTTGCTGATGAGGCATGACTCAATATGAGAAGAAACAGCTGCAAAAATCTACTAATAATTGGAACTTGGAATATACAAAGTATGAATCTGAGAAAGTTGGAAGTCTTTAAAAATGAACTGGAGGGCATAAAGATAAATATTCTAGGTAATAATAAGCTGAAATCGACTGCTGTTGGCCATTTTGAATCCAGAAATCATATGGTTGACAATTCTGGGAATGACACAATTTTAAAAATGACTCAATAGTGTGGTAGAATTAGAATGTAGAAATTTGACACCTTTTCTGTCTTATATAAAACCAATGCATCCTAACCTTCTAAAACAAAAGATATTTTTACTCTTCCATAAAAGCTAGAAAAATTATTATTCAGGCCCAGATCTAAAAGGCAACAGAAAGTGGAATTGACCACCACAGGCCACCATACTGAGCATGGGCAAGCAGTCAAGGCACATAGCCAGGGACTGTTCAGGCAAACGCTCTTCAAAATGCAGTGATCTCAGTTATCAGGCGTCAAAGAACAAAAAAATCATATCATTGTGTGCTCACCTGCCCGATATGATCTCTGAAGACAAATAGGTGCATAAGCAAATGTAGTGAAGAAAGCTGATGGTGCCCGGCTATCATAAAATATAGCATCTGGGGTCTTAAAGGCTTGAAGGTAAACAAGCAGCCATCTAGCTCAGAAGCAACAAAGCCCACATGGAAGAAGCACACCAGCCTCTGCGATCACAAGGTGTCGAAGGGATTAGGTATCAGGCAACAAAGAACAAAAACCATATCATTGTGAATGAGGGGGAAGGCGGAGTGGAGACCTAAAGCCCATCTGCAGTCAACTGGACACCCCCTTTCAGAAGGGTCTCAGGCAGGAGACGAGTCCTTCAGGGTGCAGGGTAGCAACGATGAAACGTACAACTTTTCTCTAGTTCCTAAATGCTTCCTCCGCAACCCACTATCATGATCCCATGCTAATCTTCTCTGTATCATTCCAATTTTAGTATATATGCTGCCGAATCGAGCACCATGATCCCAATTCTACCTTACAAATCTGGCTAGACCAGAGGATGTACACTGATACAGATAAGAACTGAAAACACAGGGAATCCAGGACAGATGATCTCTTCAGGACCAGTGATGAGCATGGTGATACCAGGAGGTGGGGTGGAAAGGGGGAACCAATTACAAGGATCTACATATAACCTTCTCCCTGGGGGATAGACAACAGAAAAGTGGGTGAAGGGAGATGTCCAACAATGTAAGATATGAAAAAATAATAATAATTTATAAATTATCAAGGGTTGATGATGGAGGGGGAGCGAGGAGGGAGGGGGAAAATGAGGAGCTGATGCCGGGGGCTTACGTGGAGAGCAAATGTTTTCAGAATGATGTGCTTTATGTATGGATTGTGATAAGAGTTGTATGAACTCCCAATAAAATGATTATAAAAGAAACAAAACAAAAACGCAGTGATCCCTACCGAAGCCATACCCCCTTGTTTCCTAAATGTGACTGGAACGGATATTCATTCCTGCACACGTTCTCGTAAAAAACAATAATTGTGTTTCCAGTGAGTACACACTCTGAGTCACTCTTATTCCGGGAAAATTAGAAGCAGTAAGAACTTGGGACTGGAATGAGAAAAGAGAAATAAATAATTTCCCTCGAAGGGAAGAGTGGTTGCTGTATTATACCTGGAGGCAGAGAAACTTACAGATCTTATTAAAAAATGGATTCCTGGCACCTCAATGATCTCGCCTCTCTGAGATCTGGGTGGGTTCTAGGAAACTATAGTAGAACAGGAGGGACGGGATCTCAGAAGTAAAAGACAGGAGACAAAAGCTCCCGGTCATGAACTGGAAAGGCCATGACATCTGAAACCAAATCCGAGTGGTGGAAAGGGAGCCTCTTGGCAAGCATGCCGCTGCCAGTAAAGCAGAGGGCATTTGAAAGTGTCCTGGTGAGATTAGGACCAACACACCGCACAAGCGATGCCCAATGGAAATCAACATTCACATACTCGTTATTAACCACAGATGGGTAGCTGTGAGAGGGCTTCAAGAAAACCATGGCGAATGGTATTAAAAGATCATGGATGTTTTCCATAAACTTTGTGAATCTCCTTCATATTGACATCTTTATTTGATAAACGACTTGAAATATCTTTAATAAAGGTTAAAATCCTACTAAGAGCTTCCATATGACACCGTGCAACCCTCTCCCACCATAATGCCATTAGCTTCTCAGTCAATCTTTCTCCCATCCTGGGGATTTGCCAACTCTACGACAGACTTGAGTATTGCTGGTTCTGTTTCTGC